AGCTGGCCATGGCTGAATACCGACTTCTTCAATAAAAGCCCAACATGCGACAATGACTGTCCTTGACTTTTATTAATTGTCATTGCATATGAAATCATAATTGGGAATTGTTTCCTTTGAAACTTAAAAGGAATCCTGGTATCTGACGGTGTAAGCAGCAACCGTGGGATAACAACTTCTTGTCCAATATTTTTCCCCGTAAGCACCGTAGCTTGAATAAGATGATTGCCTAGTCGAGTAACAATCAACCTTGTCCCATTGCACAAACCCGAAGATTGATCAATATTCCTCAACAACATGATTGGTGTTCCGATCTTTAACTTCAACTCATGGTTTGGCACACCTGAAGCTCGTATGTTATTCAGAAATTCAGGAGAATGCATGTCCGTCAAGAAGTCTACGTTTAAATCTGATTTACACACTGCATCAGAACTCAAGTAAGTTTTTGCTTCTCCGACATTGTTTAATGACGTCATGTATTCATTTATTTCATCCACGACTTCTAGTGTCGGTGCCAAGATTGCTCGACTCTGCAAATACGTTAGATCATTTGCAATATTGTGGAAGTCTGGATAAGTTGCTTTTACTATAGACGCAATAGGGTCATCAATAGTTTTTAACAACATATCTTCTAGGATAATTACCTCCCCAACTCCATCGTTTTCTCGCCCAGCAAGACCATCACCGATACTTGCAATCCACTCTGCAAATTCTCTCATGCTCTCAAAGTTGTCATCGCGAGACATGTGTTGTAAGCTCTCAAAGGAGTGTAATTAACTCTGTTTATTCGAAACGGTCTGGAATTTTCTACTAACGGAGTATTTCTTGCATTTTCTACATACGTCATTAAATGTAAAAGTGGATTCATTAATTTATATAGCTTGCAAAAGAACATAAATTAATTTTTATCAAATATATATAAGAATATATTCAATACACTGGAAAAAACATTTCTATAATAAGGTATATAACGGCTACTGCACAATAGAAGTTGAAATACATTCATTGATGTTAATAATAAGCATTGACGTCTTAGGCAAATTAGATCATTATACATCAACTGAAGAGTACAGTAGAACTTTAGAAATAACGAACTAATATTTAGTTTAGTACAAAAAACAAAAACATTGAATATGGTACTAACCATTCCAATAATAACGCTCTTCAGTAAGTGACATAATTATCATTAAAATATTTTGTATTTGCTGTTTTAAGCCGCTTAGATCTTCTCAATTCCGGCAGGGTAACCGTCACTTGCAATGCTGGCGTTATATTCATCAAACGTGGCAGAGGGGGTGCAATCCTAATGGGTGGCATAGGGTGTAAAGTTGGTGGTGGCGGTACAAACATTATGGGCGGCACAGGTTGTGAAGTTGGTGGTGGCGATACAAACGTTATGGGTGGCATAGGTTGTGATGTTGGTGGTGGCGGTACAAACGTTATGGGCGGCATAGGTTCTGAAGTTGGTGGTGGCGGTGGAAAAAGCGCACAAAGATCACATTTAAAATATATACCCCATCCAACATCACCAATGCGTAGGCAGCGAAGATGACCAGAAACATTTTTGCAAATCCAACACATTTCCATATCAAGTGAATCTTCGTTACTCTTGCACTTGTAACATGGCTCAATTAAACTTCCAATTCCTCCTATATGTGTAGGAAAAAAATTCATTTATTAAAATATAAATTGCAAATTTCGGGTATATAAAAGCGGAACAAATAATGTTGACACACATTTTTTTTATTAATTGTGACTAACGTTATTCACTCCCGCGTCCCGCCCAAAAATTCGGTCCAATTACAAAATTGGAACTGTAAATTAAACTCCACAAACCCAATCCAGCCCAGAATTTAATTCCCAACTATTAAATTGGACCGACCCAATTAAAATATGTACTCCACCCTAGCCTACGCCTTCGCCATTCGACCACACAAATCGCCGCCCTATCCCTTCTCTCACTAAATCCCTATATCGGCGTTTTCTTCAAATCGCCGACCTCAAATTTGGCCTTATGTCTCCGATGTTTTTATCACGCCGCATTCTAATTTGCCGGAGGCTTAATCTCCGTAGAATAGCGATGCTATGGTAGATCGATCGTGCGGCGATCTGAAGTTGTGGTGGTTCAAGGACGGCAGATGATTTGAATCAGGGGTAATTTCGGTGAAATTAATTTGTTATATTTCCATCGGATTATCTTCATGAACATATACTCCCTTTTTTCAAAGGTTATTATGAAATAGTAGATCTGAATATCTTCCTTTATTCTTCTTTGTTAAATTCTTTGGATCTTCATCCTAGATGCATATATGTCGTTAGATGACTCATAATTTTGTTAAAAAAAATAAGAAATTTTTTATTATAATATTTTGACAAATTCAAACGACATGCATAGAATTTCTGTGTTTATCAAGAATTTTTTTTACTCCAGTTAGTGAGAATGTGTTCTTAAAAGTACATATCTGTTTTTCAAATCTGTTTGTGAAAAGAGTAGTATTTTTAATCGATTAGAATATCTGTAAAATGCCGATCCTGTTAAAGAAATTAATTTTTTCCAGTAATTAATAATTTCGAAGTGAATTTCATAATTTTTAAAACAGCATATCAATACTTTTTACTCTGATTCGTAGATGTATGATATTATTTCTATGCATATTTCTAGATAAATTGATTTGAAAAATTATTCTAAAAATGGAATTTTTTCTGTAAATAATTTTTTAGAATAATTAGAAAGTTCTTATTTTTCTAAACTTTTCTCAAACAACTTTAGTCTTAAATTCTAACATAAATTATGAATCGAAATATTCATATCTAATTTTTAAAAATAATAATCTAAAACAGGGAGTATAGATGAATGTTTAAAGAAAAGTCATTGAGCCTTGTTGACCATGTTCAATAAGTAATGTTGAACATGATAAAGGTTCTATTGCACATTATCAGTTTTATTAAGGCAGAAAATTAAAATTACACAGCATCGTCAAGGCCGGTATGTCATTTAATCAGGTAATAAATTTTTTTAATTTATTTTAAGTATCTATACACACACACAGATATATATATATATATATATATATACATATATATATATATATGTTAATTTTTTGTATAATAATTTATGTAAGCAATAGAAGTTACCTTTGTCCAATTCCTCTTCTGAATCATACATTGAAAAAATTCTTTCAGATTTCGCAAGCTTTCTCATCGCAGGGAGACACTTATCACAGGTATCCTGTAATTTTACAATGATCTTACTAAATGAGCTTGCCAAATTACAAATATAACATTGATTATAGATAATTTTATTTAATCATTGAAATAATACATTTTTAGTTCATATTTCAGAACTGTGATTTTGGCTATTTTCCAAAACTGATTTTTTCAGTCACTGGCATTTTCATTAAATTTGTAAAATCGGTTTTTTAAGAATTTTGAGTTTAATAAGTCAAAACACGCGAACAAAACATATTTGTTTCTTAAAAACATTTTAAAATCAGTAAAGTGTAAATTACTAACCTTAGAGAGGAAGAATTTAATGCTAGTCTTGAATGCTCAATATCAACTTAAATGGTGTAGTTGGTTAGGAAGTTGAGAAATAAATGAGGTAAGTTAGAGGGAAACACTAATATACTTGTGTTCCTATATAGTGTATTAAATGTAAGGAATTAAAGCCTATGGCGAAGATAGGTGTGTGGCTCAATAAGTGTGGTTGTATTAATTAGTGTGTATAGTTCCTTTACTTGATTTATTAAAGTATAAATATTTACTGCTTATACGCATATTAACATATACGTAGTATATATTTATATATAAATATTTTTTTGCACTACCACATACATACACACACAGAATATATAAAAATAATTTTAATATAATATTTTTTCATTCTGATTTGATAAATTGTTAATTTTTAAGAAATAATTTTTTTACGATTATATATATAAATATTGTCATGCACTCCCAAATACATATAAACGCAGAATGAATACGTGTATTTTCGAGTCTAGAAATGTTTTAACCATTTTTAAATGGAAATAGTTAATATATTATTTTCATTGGGATCTAATATAAATATTTAATTCTTAAGAAATAAGCATTTCTTTTTACGATTATATATATAAATATTTTTCACGCACTCCCACCTACATTTACATACCCAACAAATACATGTATAAAGATATATATTTGTATACATAAATTTTATTTAAAAACAAAAACATTTAATATTTAAAATATATACATATATGTCTATATATATATATATATATATATATATCATATATATATATATCATCATGGATTCTCTCTCTAGCTCTCCGGTCATCGGCAAGCCGCCGGAAAACCGAAACAGGCTCTTCTCTGAAGTTTTGGCTACTGATTTTACTGGGAAAAAATTGCAGGGAAAGGTAACTGGCTTGTTCAAGGGTATCCCCTCAGTTTCTTTCACAAAGGAGGACATCTCAGAACTCTCCTCGCGATTTAGGCTTGCTCTGGTTGCAAAGTTCATTCGTCGTCCATCTTTCACAACGATGAACAAATTTTTGCAGAAGCTTGGGCTCAAGGGGGGTTTTGATATCTCACTTCTTCATAGCAACAGTTTCCTCCTAAATTTTAGGGAGGAGGAGGACTACCTTCGACTCTTCCTCCGTAGATCCTGGCAGGTTTTTGACAAACAAATGAGTCTCACAAAATGGAGCCCTTCGCTTTCACAGGAGTCGGAGAACCCCATAATGCCCATCTGGATTGCATTCCCCGGCCTCCCCATACACCTCCATGACAAGAGAGCCCTACACCTTATTGCATCAACTATTGGTACTCCTCTGAAGGTGGATTCTTGTACGATGAATTTTTCCAGGCCAGCCCTAGCCAGATGCTGCGTAGAAGTGGATATCTCCAATCTTCCGCCGGCCAGAATACTTATTAATCATGGAGGAGAGGAACTTATTTTTCCTTTCCATTTTGAGGATGTCCCTCTTTTTTGCAAAAGGTGTAAAAGGACTGGGCATGTGCTAGAAGCATGTCAGCATAAGAAGGAAGCCGGTTTCACTCCTTACCGGAAAACAGAGGTGGCGCCGGAGAAGATGGAAGAACTTGCAGTGGATCTGACTAGTGAAAAGTGGCAAAAGGTAAAATCCAAAAAGGGTAAAGCCAAGATGCCTTTGGAACCAGCACTTAAAAGAGAGTGGCGGGCCAGACCTTCCACTACTTCACATGCTACTTCATCTGCTGCATGGAAGGAAGGTCCAGGGGAATCATCCAAAACCAATGCAGGTACAAGCGACCCCACCCCAACCCTCAACAGCGTAATCAATAATGGGGCAAATGAAGTAATCTCCAAAAATAGACAGGGGGCCTATTGCATCACTGACCCGCTTGTCCTCTCAGCTCTCACTTTACAGCACTGCAGTGATTTTGTGGTAAGATCTCCTATTCTGTTTGAAGCTCCCACCTTCAATGAGGAGTCTGTAGATGTTGATGATAGCTTGGCCTTAGTTCCTTTCGTGGATTTCAACCTTCCTGTTGATGGTGAACCGGAGGTGGGGTTTTTTGATGACCCACAAAAACTCAATGATTCTATCCACAGACTGGACTCCCTCCTAAATCTAAACGAGTTCCCACCATTGCCAACAAAGGAGGCGTCCCCTTCTATCACCCCCACGCCTAGAACTAAGGAACGTCATCATGCCATGGTCACTAGATTCATGGCGTCAAACAGCTTCTCTCCCCTAATCTCTCCATGAATGGACTGTTTTGGAACGTTAGGGGTGTACATATTTCTCTCCCACGTCTCATTTCACTAGTCAAGAAACATAATTTCTCCTTCATGTCTCTTATTGAACCTTTAGTGGAACCGGGAAGGTTGGAGTGGTACAAGCTCAAACTTGGTTTCACAAAAGGATTTTCCGCTCTTAATAATAAACTCTGGTTCCTATGGAATGACAGCCTACTCACTCTCCAGGCAGTCATTGAAGAAGATCAGATTCTTTCTTGCTATTTCAAGTCTTTGCAAACTTCAGCTCCATTCTGGGTTTCCAGTGTGTATGGCAAACACACTAGAGCAGAGCGTGAAGGTTTATGGGCCTCTCTACGTAATCTTTACCCAGTTCAAGGTCCCTGGATCATTGGAGGGGATTTTAATACTGTTGCAAATATTTCTGAGCATAAAGGGATGGTATGTCCGGATATAAATAGCATGGATGATTTCTCTAATGTTATCTCAGACTGTGAACTTCTTTCTCCCAACTTTATTGGAAGCCAATTTACTTGGTTTGGTAATAGGAGGAGAGGTAGGGTGAGCAGAAGATTAGACCGTATACTTACAAATGAAGAGTGCTTGGATGTCTTCCAAACCATAGAGGTAAAGCACCTTGGTAGGGGTAATTCTGACCATCGGCCCCTACTACTCAAACTCATCACCAACCATTGTACTGGCCCAAAATCTTTTAAATTCCTTAATGTATGGAGCTCTCACAGTTCCTACAAAGCCCTTCTGGATTCATCATGGGACACAAGCTACCAAGGGGGGGGGGCATGAGGGGTCTTGCATTGAAACTCTCAAATTTTAAGAAATGCCTCTTAACTTGGAACAAGAATGTTTTTGGAAATCTCTTCAAAGAGGTCACTGAGGCAGAAGAAAAGGCTGAGGCTGCTGAGGTAAAATTGGAAAATGAGGACTTAGATGAAAATCTAATTGCCTACAAACATTGCACAGCCCTTCTTCAACTGGCTTTGAAAAAGGAGGAAAGCTTTTGGGCACAAAAGGCTAATATAAAGTGGATATCTCAGGGTGATGCTTCTACTTCATTTTTCCACTCTTATGTTAGGGGAAGGAGGCAAAGATTGCACATTTCATCACTTAAACGAGAGAACGGGAGTATCTGTTCAAAATTGGAAGATATCTCCAGCCTGGTGGTGGAACACTTCACAAAGACTTTCTCTAACAATCATGTTGGAGAGATGGGTCAGATTCTGGATCATATCTCCCTATGTGTGTCTACAGAGGACAACAATCTGATCAATCACATTCCGGATGAAGAGGAGATCAAACAAACAGTATGGAAGCTAAACGCTAATAGCACTGCTGGGGCTGATGGTTTTAATGGTTTTTTCTTCAGGAATGCATGGGATACGGTAAAGATTAATGTTTGCAAAGCTGTGCAAGAATATTTTGTGGGCATCCCACTACCCAAAGCTTTTGGTAGTACTTTAATTACTCTCATACCTAAACAAGAAGGTGCCAATACTCTTGACCAATTCAGGCCTATCTCTCTTTCAACTTTCTTTAGCAAAATCATCTCTAGACTACTAAGTGAAAGGCTGAAGCATATCATCCCAAAGCTGATATCACAGGAACAAGGAGCTTTCCAGGTTGGTAAAAATATTATTGAACATGTTCTCATGACCAAAGAAATGTTCCACCTACTAGCAGCAAATGTGAGGGGAGGGAACTGCATAATCAAACTGGATCTTTCTAAGGCTTTTGACAAATTATCTTGGGCATATCTGGAAGGGGTACTAGCAAAGTTTGGTTTTGATGGCAGATCGATTAACCTTCTGCTGGGGAACCTAAGGGCAACCTTCTTCTCAGTCTTAGTGAATGGACAACCGAAGGGTTTTTTCCCAATGAAATGTGGTGTCAAACAAGGAGATCCTCTTTCTCCTCTCCTCTTCATTATTGCTCTTGAAGGACTGACCAGATATCTAAACTTCAATCACTCCATTGGTCTCATCAAGTCATTCTCTGCAGGTAGAACGTCAACCCCATGCCACCTGCTCTATGCGGATGATATCATCCTATTTACCACAGCGGAATGCAAAAACCTCTTGAGGATAAGAAGTTTATTATCAGATTTCATGAAGGCCTCGGGGCAAGAGATCAATTACTCCAAGAGCCAAGTTATAGTCCATGATAGAATGAAGACAGATCACAAACTAAAAATCACTAAAATCATGGGCATCAAATGTAGTACCAAAGCTTTCAAGTATCTAGGCTCTACTATTGTCAAGGGGAAGCTTAGAAGAATCCACTGCAAGGATCTTGTAGAGAGATTTGAGAAAAAACTTAATGCATGGTATAGTAAGAAGCTAAACCAAATGGGAAGACTCATTCTTATCAAGCACGTCCTATCCTCAATACCTTTACACCTTATGGCAGCTCAACACCTCCCCAAATCCATTATTAAGAGCCTCAACAGAAAAATGGCTAATTTCTTTTGGGGGGCAAAAGAGGATGACAATAAGTATCATTGGCGTAGCTGGAACAGGTTGTGTTACCCTTTTGAGGAGGGTGGGTTGGGACTGAGAAATTTACTACACTGCCAGGAAGCGTCTTTCATCCATCTTTGGTGGAAAATTGTCCAAGACACCTCTTTATGGAGCAGGTATATGAGGCAAAAGTACTTCAGGGACGGACTTTTCTCCCCTAAGATGTATGACTCCTACACTTGGAAGGCCATATGTAGAGTGACACCCATCGTCCTCCCCCACTGTAATATCAATGAAAATGGTGCTGATTGGCTCTTGGGCTCTTACTCCTTCAAAACGGCTTACTACCTATCCTTTGAGCATAAGCCTAAACAGACCTCTTGCGCATACATTTGGGATAAAAGACAACTTGGAAAGATTAGCATGTTCCTTTGGAGACTTCTCAATAATCTACTCCCTCTCCCCAGCAACCTACATCGTAGGCAGATTATGGTTCAAACTCAATGCCCACTTTGCATGGAGGTCGCGGGGGATGAGCAACACATTTTCCTTCATTGCAGGTTGGTTTCCCCAGCATGGATCAGTTTTTCCACGGTTTTAGATGTCCCAGCAGTTCGTGGGAACCCTACGGTCCAGCAAATCCTTTTTGGTTGGTGGTTCTCTTCGAACAAAACTAGTATAAAGGGTAACCTTAGGTTTCTTCTCCCCGGTTTCATTTGTTGGTCC